TCTGCCCCTTCCCCTCCCGTGCTCTGTCTCTCAAAAATAAATGAACATTAAAAATTTTTTTTAAAAATAATACATTAGGATTATTTTCCCAGTAAACTTTCAGTTGAGTTCTCCCAGAAGAAGACCATGGCTCGCAATCCACGTTGGAAGGTGACCCGGGAGGCATCTGTAGGGCAGAGGGGAAGCGGGACCAAGAAGGGAAGGAAGCGGAAAGAGGGTGTGGACTCGAGCAGGTTGTTGCTGTGGGCCACTGGGCCCCTCTCGCTGGGGCTCTCTGGAAGATGTTACGGGGCACGACTCAGAGCGTTCCCACTTGGGAGATGAGGGGAACTGGGCTTTTCATCCACCTACTGCCCCTAGAGGCATCAGCTTCCCCTTGTTTTCCCCAGCACCCCAGCCTGCTCTGCCTGGGGCCAGATAAAACCCCAGTGCGGAGAAGAACAGGACAAGAACAGGTGCTCGCAGCCTAAAGTCACCAGCAAGCCTGAGGCACGGGGTTGGTCCTCTTGTGGTGCCTGCTACTGACACCAAACTGAACGCGTTTCGATGGTTCCTGGTGTACGTGTTCATTTTCTCCCCTGACCTAGACAGTAGCCCAGATTGTGGATGGGAAGACTGAGCCCGAGAGTCCCTTGTCCAGGAGAATTCAGGTGGGAGGGCAGCCCCCCGCCGTCTCCTCACTCTGCATGTGTGGTCACTCCGGCCTGCCTCCCTCGGTCTCCACGAAGCTCAGCTCCGTAAGGAGATGTAAATATGTTGACGTTTCCGAGGTGAGAACAGGAAACTAAAACTATTTTTTTGGTACTCTGTAGAATTCCTTAGATATCCACAGGGAAGTGGATACTTACATACGCTTAGTCCCCCGACCCTTATGCCAAAAAATATTATCTCTCTTCTGCACAAAGCACAGCCAAAATTAGGAGGTTATAGGACCTGCTGACCGCCACACAGGATGTTAGCGATACAGTTAAGTTCTAGAAAACTCCACAGAAGTCCCTGTGGTGGAAGCTTCTGGATGCATGGTTCGCTGAGCGCTGGATTTTGTTACCTTCCCATTACCCGGGCTTTCTTCGCAAGTGTTGTCAGTCCCTTTGGTACTTCTTGGAAACAAGTGTCTCCCGGCTTCACTTCCCTTTATTATGCTTGTAAGTGACTCAGTAATTCTTTGTGGACTTCAGTAACACTTGTACTATTTAAATGTGAATAACCCCAAAGGATCTAGATAGGTCAGTGTGTTTAAACCACAGGCTTTAGTCTACACATTAGTTGATTAAAAACAGATTTTTATACATGATGTATGCTCAATAAAGGGAGGGGAAGCAAGCAGATGTTTGTAAAATCTAAATGTGTTAGATTATATTTATTCGGCTCTCTTTTGCTGACTCGCTTTAGAAAACTCATACCTGTGATAGCTGAACCGTAAACAGTTAGATGATATCTTTCCCTAGAAATTTCCTGCTCTGAAGGGTCAGCCAAAAAGACAAGTAAAAAGATTCCCTAAGATTAACATACCAAAAGAAGTTGACAAATACACCATAAAGTAGTCATATCTAGATCAAGGACGACACTGAATAATGGAGTGCCTCAAAATTATACTCTGGTCTCCGACCATAAAATGATTGGTGGCATTTTTCTCCTTTAAAATATTTCTATTTGAGACTCTTTGAGTGTTTGACAGTTCGTGTTGGTCTTCCAGTCCGGATGAAATATGTGCAGAACCTCCCTCTGAGTTCCGAACACATGAGAATTACAGATAAAATATTTTCAAATGGATTTTAAAGCCAACAACCGGGGCACCCAGGTGGCTCAGTCGGTTGAGCATCCGACTCTGGCTCAGGTCATGATCTCACAATTCGTGGGTTCGAGCCCCGCGTCGGGCTCTGTGCTGACAGCCCGGAGCCTGGAGCCTGCTTTGGATTCTGTGTCTCCCTCTCTCTCTCTGCCCCTTCCCCGCTTGCGCTCTGTCGCCCTGTCTCTCTCAAAAACAAACAAACAAATAAGACTAATAACCGTGTATAAACATACGAGGAGAATCTCCAAGGACTGGAAATGAAAGGAAATGTAGAATGGTGAGGGAAGGCTGAAACTGGGCTACTCATGAGAAGTGGGGACGAGACAGAGCAGTGGGGACCTGAGGGGCACACGGCGGAGACAATCCCGCACGGGACAGGAGACCCAGGGCTCCCCAGGTACATCCTGGACTCGTCGCTCCCACCTTCTCTGGAATTGGATCCAGATAGAATTCTCAGGGAAGGAAACAGAGGCACCGAGTCATACCAGGATCTGTGCCTCTCTGGCACACGGGTGTCTCGTGGGAGGGTCCTCGCCAGGGAAACAACCTCGAGCCCCGTCATCAAGAGTTCGGGTTCTTTTTTATTTATTTATTTATTTATTTATTTATTTATTTATTTATTTATTTTTTCAACGTTTATTTATTTTTGGGACAGAGAGAGACAGAGCATGAACGGGCGAGGGGCAGAGAGAGAGGGAGACACAGAATCAGAAACAGGCTCCAGGCTCTGAGCCATCAGCCCAGAGCCCGACGCGGGGCTCGAACTCACGGACCGTGAGATCGTGACCTGGTTGAAGTCGGACGCTTAACCGACTGCGCCACCCAGGCGCCCCAAGAGTTCGGGTTCTTAGGAAGTGTTGCACGCAGGAAAATATGGAATTGCTTTTTTTAAATTTTCGAATAGGCTGAGGAATAAATAAGAATGTTTCGTTCTCTTGAAATTATGAAGGAGGGAATTGCATCCTGGGAACAGGAAGAGAAAGTAATTCAAGAAGAGGGAGCTGTGATAAAGAATCTGTGGGAAATGAAAAAGGTGGTCCTTGGAATAAAAAGAATCAGGCAATAGGATAAAGACCAGATTAATAGGCTTAACTTGCTTAAGAATGACCAGAGAGATTTCTGCTTCTGACTTACACATCTTAGCCGTTAAATAAAAGTGATTATTTTCCTGAATACACCTTCCTAAATCTAAAATTTTGGAAAGTAGGAGAAGTAAACACTCTGAGAAAGCAATTTCACCGTGTAATGAGCTATTATCACCTTTATGAAGTTGTAAATTTTCATAATCCGCCCTCCATACTCTTTTCAAATCCTTTCTCTCAGATGGCATTACAAATCCTCGATCTGTTTTCTTTTCCACAAAATTTCCTTCTGTCCCATATGTCCGCTGAATTTGTGAATTGCCTGACTTTTGAAACACATAGTCGCCCTAACCCTTTGCCCTGATCTTGGTCCGTGACATTGTTCTAACCCCTGCCCGTGGAACGCGCTTCCCCGCACACACCTTCGCGTCCATCCCATCTTCCCAAGAAGTCCCCTCTTGTTCGCCAGACACTCCCTCGCCCATCCTTCCCGACTCAGCGGAAAGACTGTGTCCTCCGGGAAACCTTCTCCAGGCGGCCCCGACTCTGCCCCTTGGCTCGCTTAGAGCATCTCTCACCCAGTGGCAGTGCCATCTCCTTGTGGACGGGGAGTGGGAGTCTCTATTTTTGCTTCCCCAGTATCTCTCAGAGTCTGGCTTTTAGTAGAAACTCCGTAAGTACTTGTAGGAGTGGATAAATGAATGGATGGCATAAACGGAGAATGAGAAGTGGGTTATTGTGGTTGAAAATGATGTTTAATAGTCATTGCAGGGAGCTTTAACTTTGATGTTCTCAAGGAATAGGGAATAATTCTAGATTCGCAAGCAGGATAGTGATGTGAAAAATGTGGCCTTCAAGGAAATTTGATCTGGCATTGATAGGTTGATAGGCAAAGAAAAGAAGTGTGTGCAATAAAATGTACCGTGAGTGAGTAAATGTGTATGGCGAGGACCTCTTATATCTCATAAATGCCTATAAATAGTCATAATGTCAGCGATAGCCGGATAATTCAAACCTTCCTCTGAGGGGCTGGCCTCAGCCTGCCCGTAAGATGGTAAATCCTAAAAATCCAATAATGGTTGATTTGCTGTGGGAATATACTCCTTATATTATTGCTATTTCTGATTCAGGTAAAGAAGTAGAAATCCAATTACCTCCTTTCTCCCTAGTTCGTGACCTATAACTAATTATTCAGGTACATGTGCCGGAGTTTGTACGAGAAGCAGGAACAAAAAGAATGAAATTCGAACCTTTTTTGAAGGTTCTTTTAAATGCAGCTTCTCAAAGCCGAGCTTAAATCTATAAATCCTTAAAGCTGCATAGATTTCATTGAGGTTTCTGAAAAATGGATCGGCTCTTCCTGAGTATGAGTAATTTTGTGTATGCTGAAGTATTAAAAGTATGCCGCATAATATTTTTCTTCTCTTTTTGAACAGCAAAACTTAGAGAGTAACCTCACCAACCTTATTAAGAGGAACACGGAACTGGAGACCCTCTTGGCTAAACTCATCCAAACCTGCCAGCACGTGGAGGTGAGTGTCTCTGTGCGCTGTGTTTCATGTGAGAACTGCCAGACCGCTGGGCTGGTTTATCCCCTTGGCTTTTGCATTTTTAAGATGGCAGTCTTCTTAAAATTAGATCTTTTGGAGAAGCCAAATAGAAGAGATGCACAAAATCGAAGGAAATAGAACCTCGGAGAATCTCTCCCCATGCACTGCTTTGTTTTGCCCCCACTGCTGTCTCTGCCTCTGTGCTCCCACGACCTTCCCCCTGCGTCTCTGTGTCTATGACCAAACCTCCTTACAGGGACACCAGTCGTCGGACTGGGGCCATCCTACCCCAGCACGAATTCACTTCAACTTGATTACGTCTGCAAAGACCCTACTTCCAAATAAGGTCATATTTGCAGATACCGGGAGTTAGGACTTGGATGTAATTTTTCCGGGGCGGGGGAGAACATGATTCAACCCACCGCAGGTGTCTATAAAATGCATCTTCGCTGTCACATATGTTTCCATGAAATTGACCACTTGTTGGGATTAAGTCAAGAGTGTGCTTCGAATGGATTCACTTGTGGCAAGGGTGTCTCCAGGGAACGTTTTGAGCCTTGTTGATTAAACAACATGGTAAATAACAGTGAACAAGCATAATGTTTTCATTATTGTAGGGTAAAGTGAATATGTGTTATAGGAATAAATGGATGAACAAAATGGAATGATCCGCGTGCTATATTTTATTTTTATGATGTGACGGCATTTGACGTTTAGGACAATCAGAAAAAATAATTTCTCTCCAGTAAAAAAAAAAAGAAATTACCTGTGTTTTTTTTTTTTTTTTCAACATTTATTTATTTTTGGGACAGAGAGAGACAGAGCATGAACGGGGGAGGGGCAGAGAGAGAGGGAGACACAGAATCGGAAACAGGCTCCAGGCTCTGAGCCGTCAGCCCAGAGCCTGACGCGGGGCTCGAACTCCCGGACCGCGAGATCGTGACCTGGCTGAAGTCGGACACTTAACCGACTGCGCCACCCAGGCGCCCCAGAAATTACCTGTGTTTTATGGGGAAATCTTACAAAGCCTTTACAGATTGGGTGATCATTCCATTCAATTTCAGCTAGTGACTTCTTAAAGCACTCAGGGTCTGGTTTCCATTACGGCCGGTAGTGGTTTCAGAACAACGGTCTTGCTCCTAATGCGGTATTAGTATGGCTCGAATTTACGAAATGCTATCGTTGTAACGTGTAAAACTGCTTTCTATGATGTTCAGCAATTTCGAATGATTGATAGAAATTTATAAGCAGATTTTGTTTTGATGCCAAAAGATGAGATATTTAGCTGTGATAAAGGCTTTCGAAATAAAGCTACTTACTGGGGCGCCTGGGTGGCTCAGTCGGTTGAGTGTCCGGCTTCGGCTCAGGTCGTGATCTCCCGGTTTGTGGGTTCGAGCCTCGCATCAGACTCTTAGCTGACAGCACGGAGCCTGTATGTCTCCCTCTCTCTCTGCCCCTCCCCAGCTCGTGTGCTTTCTCTCTGAAAAATAAACATACATAAACAAATAAATAAATAAAGTTACTACTGAATTGATTTTAGCAGGCTTGCAAGGAGACACATGTAGGCCATGAGAAGTTATGCTAGACAAGGAGTAAAGAATATTCATTCATTTTACTGTGTTTCTGAACAAAGCCTCCAAATGGAAAGAAATGCTTGCAGGTGAATAAATTTGGTATTTGGGAAATTTCTTCTAGACAAAAATGAAAGAAAACGAATTATGAGTAGAAAAGTAATGCTAGGACTACCTATGTTTTTACATGTGTCTCTTATTCATAATTATCAATATTCTCAGAGTGTAACTTCCCAGCAGTTGAGCATCCAGTTCTCATACAATAACCAAATGGGTCCGTTGAGGATTTATCGAGGTCACTGATGAAGGACCGGCAAACAGTGGGGGTGGGGGTGGGGATGGGGTGGGAGTGCGGGAGGAAGGGCGCTAGAATCAGGCAGCTGAATGAAATGCAAAACTGGTTGGTGACGTAAAGGGCAGTAAAGTCATAACGTTTGGGCAAAATGAGTTATATATCATCAGTTTTCTCCAAGTGTCCAAGTTGACATTTAACTTTGCAGAGACTAAGCCTCCATTGAGAGTAAATAGAAAGCCGAACTCTGTGACATCCCAGCCTGAGGAGTTACATGACCCTTCCTTGGGCGGCCTTGGTGGAGGATGTTCTCCCACCGCCCCGGCAAGGGCGCACAGTCTTCTTGTTGCCTTATTTCCACGTGTTGGATAATATAGCTTAACGTGACTTTCTGCTCTGTCTGTTCTGGACACCGTTGATCTATGAGTTGTGTTCACTACACAGATATTTCCGGGCGAGGGTGTAAATTTTTGCTTCCGGCCGGTGACTTCGGTTGGTTAAAGCGCCACACTACTCTGTTCGTTCCGTTCGTGTGTGGGGCATTCACTGTGCTGGGTGCCGAGGACCCACCATCTTGTCCAAGACAAAGCAGTAACCACAATACCAAATTGGAAACTAATTGCCGTAAGAGAGGTACGGACTCCGTACTTGGAATTTCGGAGAAGCAAGACGTTTCTTCCAGCTGGGTGTCCCAAAGGCAGTGCCTGATGTGAGCCCGCCTCCAAGGGTAGGCGGCCTTGAAACCGAGGCACGGGGATAGAATGAGAAGGAGTGTATGTGCGCACAGCAAGTAGTTCGTTCTGTAGACACACAAGGTGTGTCGGGGGGATCAGTAGGAACCGGCTTTCGAGAGCTGAGAGCTAGGTGGGCTTTAATAATTGCATCCTTGTCTAGCTATATGTGCTCTTGAAAGTTTAATGAGGGATTGAGGAACACAGAGACTTGGGTAATTTTCACAGTGACAACTGGCATCCCTGATTCTTTTCAGGAAGTGATATTTTTGCCTAATGGAAAGTTCCAATGGACCTCTTAGTGCAAAATGCACTAAGTGCGCACCCAAGGGAAAACCTCACAGCACACTACCGAACTCCAAAAAGCCAGTGGAGTTTGTCAGGCACTTTTAAATGCAGGCAGTGGAAAAGAATTTCCTGGTTCGCATCCTAGGTTCCTAGACTGTATTTCTTCCTTTTCCTCTTCCTGAAGGTGTCCTTGTTTTCGGGCATGAGCATTCCTAGGGAAAATAATCCCGTGACTCTCAATTGTTGTAAATCAAATCAATGAATTCCCACCAGATCCTGAGGAAATGCCACATCCTTATAAGTCCACACCTCCTTCCTGGGATTCACTTCTGCTTTTCTTTAGAATGAAAAGAGTTTGAAGGTCTCCCTCCCCCCACACATCCCCATTGTTTCATAACTTGTTTTTACAGCGAGGGTAAGCAAATGAAATGGCTCTTTGACAGTAAGTACCAAATCTTTTTTTTAATGTAAGTTTATTTTTGTTTATTTTGAGAGAGAGGCAGAGAGCGAGCAGGGGAGGGGCAGCTAGAGAGAGAGACAGAATCCCAAGCAGGCTCCACGGGCAGCACGGGGCCTGACGCGGGGCTCGAAATCACGACCCGTGAGATCATGACCTGAGCCGAAATCAAGAGTCAGATGCTTAACAGACTGAGCCACCCAGGCGCCCCAAATCTTTTTAAAACTAGAATGAAGGCCGAGGCAGTTCAGGCCTCAGGAGGGGAGAGATACTGAAGGAACAGTATCAGGTAGACTCCCAAAACGTGTGTGCGTAATGTGGTGGCTGGGATTCTAAAAATGAGTGGGTTTTTAGCCACTGGGCTTTGGTTTCTTCAGAAGAGGAAGACATTAGAGAATTCTCTTGGGATGAGTTCAGCGTTAGTTCATCTCAGCCTCCTCCCAGTTTTATGTTCAAAATCAGAGGGCCTAGTTTAGTTAAGCAAATACTGACATGTTTCAAATTCTCCACACATTCTGAGAATCGAGTCCTTTCACAGAGACTGTAACACCTGGGCACAAAAGAGATGTTCCTTTGGGGAATTACAGGTGGCCAATGACTAAATCCGCTGAGGTGACTAATCAATTGCCAGATCAGAGTGGAGAAGACAAAGGCTTTTTTTTTGTTTCAAACAAATTCCTTTTGCCATTGCTTTTCGCGCTGAGTCTTTAAACGATCATTTTCCTTTGATTTTAATGGAAACTTTGTTCTTTTGCTGGCTTTCTCTGAGTCTTGCCACTGCTAGATGACACGTGAAGTGACAGACTTCTTGGGGGTGAACTAAGGGCAATTTCATTCCATTTTTGCCCAGATATTGGGCTCCGTGAATTGAGAGGGAGAGGGAGGAGGGTAATATGTTACAGTAGCTTGTAAGAAACGGTTAAAAACATTGATTTGGGAAAGCAGGGGGTCTGTAAAAGACTTTTTCAGTCATTTACCACATCCTAAAAGCGCTCAATTGTAAGCTTTGAAATAAGAGGAAAAATTGCTGGGTTAAAAAAGAAACATGAGGTTTTTATGTTTATTTTTTTATTTTTTTATTAAAAAAATTTTTTTTAATGTTTATTCATTTTTGAGAGACAGAGCATGAGCAGGGGTGGGGCAGAGAGAGAGGGAGACACAGAATCCGAAGCAGGCTCCAGGCTCCCAGCTGTCAGCACAGAGCCCGACGTCGGGCTCGAACCCGTGAACCGCAAGATCATGACCCGAGCCGAAGTCGGACGCTCAACCGACTGAGCCACCCAGGCGCCGCAGGTTTTATGTTTAAATTAACTTTGTTATACAGTTTTACGCAAAAGCGCTCTCTCCCTCTCTATGGAAACCTTGGCGATTGCTCTGTCCACAGCCATCGCATAAAGACGAGCATCTGAACGCCAAATGTGCTGTTTGTGTTTTGTGGACAGGTGTCTGACCTTGTATGACATATGTCCCGCTGGGGGCCAACTTGAATGTGCAGAGTCATCATCTCTTGTCACTTGCAGATGAGGGTTAGATTCCCACCCCATCTGAGCCCTCATGAGAATGCTCTCAAGGTATAATTAGAGTCAGATTCTGGCCTCCTGAAACCACATCATCCATGGGGTCTCCATCTAAGCGGCTCCCGA